TAGCTTCGCTATTATTTATTATATTAATACATGATAAAATTCAGAATAAATTATAATTATTTTTTGGTTATAATATATATCATTAAACATATTTAACATATTCATCAATACACTCGTAGAAGGAAAAATCCTAGTAAAAGCATTAATTGATACATCATTGAAGTTTAATACCATTAGTGAGAGCTTGTTCGATAAGCTTAAAGAAGATTATGGAATAGGTGATCCTGTTGAGAATCTTTATGGGGATGTAATAGGTAAAATAAAATGTTTAGATTTGCAATTTTGCTATAAAGGAAAGTGACGAAGTTTAGATGGTACCGAAGTAATAGACTTTCAAATTCGCAAAAATCTATCATTTGATTTGGTATTAGGGAGAGATTGGTTATGGATGCATGAAGCAAAAATAAGCTTTGGATATTCTCCCAAAACCTGTGTCCACTATGCTAAAATTGTAATCAATGGTATGAGTATCCCATTAATCAAAGAAAATAGTAATAAAGCCAGCTCTAGTAAAAATAACTTATCTCGTTCTGAAACAGAAATCGATAAACCTGATCTAAATTTAGAAAAGTTTATAGATATATTTAAGAAATTATCTATAGAGACTAATTTATCCAGTTCTGATTCAGAATCTACGGGTTCAGACTGGTACGATCTTGATCTAAAAAAACCCTGAAAGAAACGCATCCATATTACAAAGAAAAAGGTTATCTCTCCTAGCCAAAAACATCGTAGAAATAAGCTAATTAGAAATAAGTAATCTTTAATCCAGAAAATTATTATAGGTGGAATCAACATAGAAGTATTTCAGAGAAATGACATATTACTGCGCTACATTACTGCATCCTGGTGATATGGTGTCCTGCCTCGGCAACTAGAAAAAATAAACACTGCACCGCATTACTGCACAAAGTGGACTAATCATTGAATAAATATTTAAACCTGCCCACATCGGGCTTAGTGACATGTGTTTGTTAGAATTATTTCACATATATATAAAATTTATCTGTATTACCTTGCAAGGCTTATCGTTATGCATAACTTATTTGTGAGATGGATCACAAGTAGAAATTGCCATTTTTCATTTTTCTGGAATTAGTACTTAAACCAAAGTCGGTCAATTAACTCATGCCACATATCGATATGTTCTGAATTTATTTGTGGGTAAGGGCGCAATTGCCACATATTATTGACCACGTTATATTTTTTCTGTTAACGTATAATAATGAAAAAATATCCGAATAACATACTCATACGTAAAGATAAACAAAATTATATCGAAAAGTGGCATATCTTTAGAGGGTGGAAGCACGGGTGTAAGGTTTGTGACAAATGCAATCATCATTCACACCTATATTGCAAAGCATGCAAAAAAGTAGTGAACGGGAATATATAAGCGATGAATGAGTTGTCCCATAGTTATTTTGCAATTACCCTAAATTCGGTCAATCACCTCATGGCATATATATCATATATTTATAATACATTTATTCATGTGGTATTGGAGCAATTCTCTGGTTTATCATTTAAATATAGTAATAAAAATAATGATTATTTCGACTATTCAGAAACATGTCCAGCATGTAATGGAGAGCATAAAAGGGATGACGTGGGAGGTTGGTGGAGTGATTGTGATTATTGTGGCGAAAAAACTTATCGTCTCTATTGTAATAAAACTTTTAGTGGAATCCCGATAGTAAATGTGAAAGCGTAGTCATATTCGTGTAACCTAATTTTCAGATATACCAATACGAATTTACCCCATTAGAGATTGCCCGGTCCGAGATAAGCAACTCCGAGATATGTCCAAATTGTTTCTTTGTCGGTTAGTTAACTATCCCTTAATCCGTATTCGGGGCAAATTTGCCCCGAATTTCTGATTCCCGGCAAATTTTTCACACTACCATTAA